AAAAAGAAACCAGCCGGGTTAGGGCAAAAAAAAAAAAAAAAAAGGACAGGAAAAAAAAAAAACTGGCGGTTTGGGCTGGGCTCGCGCTAATTAGCCGGGTGGCAACGAGCTGCTTGGCGTTTGCCACCTGGGCCTCCGTGCCGGGAGCAAAGTCCGGCTGGAATTGCCCCCCCTGCTCCGTGACGCCGGCCCGGAACGTCCGTGCGCGCGGTGGTGGTCCGGGGAGGGGGCCGAAATCAGCGTTTGGAAATTGGTGGTTTGAGTCACGGGCCAGCCGGATATTCGGGTCCTGGCTCCGGTCCCGGCTCGGATCCCCGGCAGGGCTCTGGGCTGGGGAGCGTGGGGGCTTTGGGGCAAAACCCACAAGTTTTGAGGCTGCTTAGGTAGATTTGGGGCTGCTACAACCTGTGGGCTGGAGTGATGGGAGGGAGTGAGATGCGATGGGATAGGAAGGATGGGAATGGTATGGGATGGAAAAGATGTGATGGGCGAGGAGAGATGGGATGTGATGGGAGAGGACAGGAGGGATTGGGATAGGACGGGATTGGGATAAGTTTGGGATAGGATGGGATGGGATGGGATCAGATGGGGTGGGATCAAATGGGAGGGATGGGATGGACTGCAATGGGAAGGATGGGACGAGATGGGATGGGATAGCATGGGAGGGATGTGATCGGGTGGGATGGGGTAGAAATCTCGGGATGGGAGGGATAGGAGGCATGGGGGATGGGATGGGATGGAATCAGATAGGAGAGAGGGTGTGGGATGGGATCAGATGGCAGGGATGGGATGCGAGAGATCGGAGGGGACGGGATGGGATGGGATGGGATGGGATGGGATGGGATGGGATGCGAGAGATCGGAGGGGACGGGATGGGATGGGATGGGATCAGATGGCAGGGATGGGATGCGAGAGATCGGAGGGGACGGGATGGGATGGGATGGGATCAGATGGCAGGGATGGGATGCGAGAGATCGGGAGAGGGAGGGGGTGGGATGGGATCAGAGGGCAGGGATGGGATGCGAGAGATCGGAGGGGACGGGATGGGATGGGATCAGATGGCAGGGATGGGATGCGAGAGATCGGAGGGGACGGGATGGGATGGGATGGGATCAGATGGCAGGGATGGGATGCGAGAGATCGGAGGGGACGGGATGGGATGGGATGGGATCAGATGGCAGGGATGGGATGCGAGAGATCGGAGGGGACGGGATGGGATGGGATGGGATCAGATGGCAGGGATGGGATGCGAGAGATCGGAGGGGACGGGATGGGATGGGATGGGATCAGATGGCAGGGATGGGATGCGAGAGATCGGAGGGGACGGGATGGGATGGGATGGGATCAGATGGCAGGGATGGGATGCGAGAGATCGGAGGGGACGGGATGGGATGGGATGGGATCAGATGGCAGGGATGGGATGCGAGAGATCGGAGGGGACGGGATGGGATGGGATGGGATCAGATGGCAGGGATGGGATGCGAGAGATCGGAGGGGACGGGATGGGATGGGATGGGATCAGATGGCAGGGATGGGATGCGAGAGATCGGAGGGGACGGGATGGGATGGGATGGGATCAGATGGCAGGGATGGGATGCGAGAGATCGGAGGGGACGGGATGGGATGGGATGGGATCAGATGGCAGGGATGGGATGCGAGAGATCGGAGGGGACGGGATGGGATGGGATGGGATCAGATGGCAGGGATGGGATGCGAGAGATCGGAGGGGACGGGATGGGATGGGATGGGATCAGATGGCAGGGATGGGATGCGAGAGATCGGAGGGGACGGGATGGGATGGGATGGGATCAGATGGCAGGGATGGGATGCGAGAGATCGGAGGGGACGGGATGGGATGGGATGGGATCAGATGGCAGGGATGGGATGCGAGAGATCGGAGGGGACGGGATGGGATGGGATGGGATCAGATGGCAGGGATGGGATGCGAGAGATCGGAGGGGACGGGATGGGATGGGATGGGATCAGATGGCAGGGATGGGATGCGAGAGATCGGAGGGGACGGGATGGGATGGGATGGGATCAGATGGCAGGGATGGGATGCGAGAGATCGGAGGGGACGGGATGGGATGGGATGGGATCAGATGGCAGGGATGGGATGCGAGAGATCGGAGGGGACGGGATGGGATGGGATGGGATCAGATGGCAGGGATGGGATGCGAGAGATCGGAGGGGACGGGATGGGATGGGATGGGATCAGATGGCAGGGATGGGATGCGAGAGATCGGAGGGGACGGGATGGGATGGGATGGGATCAGATGGCAGGGATGGGATGCGAGAGATCGGAGGGGACGGGATGGGATGGGATGGGATCAGATGGCAGGGATGGGATGCGAGAGATCGGAGGGGACGGGATGGGATGGGATGGGATCAGATGGCAGGGATGGGATGCGAGAGATCGGAGGGGACGGGATGGGATGGGATGGGATCAGATGGCAGGGATGGGATGCGAGAGATCGGAGGGGACGGGATGGGATGGGATGGGATCAGATGGCAGGGATGGGATGCGAGAGATCGGAGGGGACGGGATGGGATGGGATGGGATCAGATGGCAGGGATGGGATGCGAGAGATCGGAGGGGACGGGATGGGATGGGATGGGATCAGATGGCAGGGATGGGATGCGAGAGATCGGAGGGGACGGGATGGGATGGGATGGGATCAGATGGCAGGGATGGGATGCGAGAGATCGGAGGGGACGGGATGGGATGGGATGGGATCAGATGGCAGGGATGGGATGCGAGAGATCGGAGGGGACGGGATGGGATGGGATGGGATCAGATGGCAGGGATGGGATGCGAGAGATCGGAGGGGACGGGATGGGATGGGATGGGATCAGATGGCAGGGATGGGATGCGAGAGATCGGAGGGGACGGGATGGGATGGGATGGGATCAGATGGCAGGGATGGGATGCGAGAGATCGGAGGGGACGGGATGGGATGGGATGGGATCAGATGGCAGGGATGGGATGCGAGAGATCGGAGGGGACGATGTGAGGGAGGCAGGGGACGAAGGGACATGGAGGATGCAGAGGATGCAGGGGACGTGGGGACACGAGGGAGGCAGGGAATGGAGGGGGCACAAGGGGCATGAGGGATGCAGGGGACGAGGGGGACACGAGGGATGCAGATGTGGTGGATGCAGGGGAGGGGAGGGAGGCAGGGGACGAAGGGACATGGAGGATGCAGAGGATGCAGGGGACGTGGGGACACGAGGGAGGCAGGGAATGGAGGGGGCACAAGGGACATGAGGGATGCAGGGGACGAGGGGGACACGAGGGATGCAGATGGTGCAGGGGACACGTGGGAGACGTGGGAGATGCGGGAACATGGGGCATGCAGGGGACACTGGGGACATGGGAGGTGTGAGGGAAGCAGGGGACATGGGGGACATTGGAGACATGGGAGAGACAGGGGGCAAGAGACATGCAGGGGA